GAGCGCATACCAGGTCAGGACGTACGGTGCGGTGAAACATTCCGTTAATGGCATAATCTGTCTGATGCGGCGATGTGTTTGTTGTTGTTAAAGAGTCCATCAGGCTGCCACCCCCTCATCACGCGGCAGAGCGGGGAGCGTCTCTGCGGGAGAAAATCAAAACAGATGCATGAATGCAGCACTGATGCGCCCGGAACACACTCTCACATTTACATCTCTCATCCCCAGTGGTCTCTTATATATATGCTTTCGTCAATCAATTATCGTCATCATTCAATGTGTGTTTTCAGGAGGGAAAACGTTTCGACTGTTTTTCGATCGTGCCTCGCGTTCTGGACTGGACTGGCTAGCTGTACAACAGAGAGACGCTCTCCGTCCAGAAGGTTGCGCCTCCTCCTCCGTGGAGACCACCATTAACTAACGAAACACGCGCCTCCGGGAGAAGAGAAGGGAGGGGGCGTCACCACCACCCCACCAGACCCGCTAAACGCGCACAGCTACGCGACGCGCCAGGGGTATTCAATTCAGGTGTCACAAAACTGTCAAGAATGTTTAGCCCCAGATACCATCGCGGGGTGCAGTCCCGAGGGCAGTCCCCGTGCGCGTGCAAGGGGGCGCCGTGGAATAAAACGATCTGATAACAACCGAAAGCAATCGAAAACAGGAGAAAATGAAAATTATATTGAGAATATACGGTAAAAATGAAGCTTCAAAAACGTTGAATGATTTTATCCTATTTTATTTTTTTTGTAAAACGGTTTTTTCAACCCTCTCTATAGATAAAGTGGTCTTCCAGGATCAGCGCAACCAGTGAGCGGGAGGAGAGCGCGAAACTTTTGGGAGAGGTGGCGCAGCGACAGCGGCAGCTTACACACGTGTGTGTGTGTGTGTGATGGCGAGAGAGATAGGCGGCCGTTTAACAGCACAAGTCAACATACGCATTACGCTTTTACGGACTAGCGGTGGGGTACGGCCAACGGCAAAAGGCTCTCTCTCTCTCTCTCTCTCGCTCCCTCTCTCTCTCTCTCTCCCTCTCTCTCTCTCTCGCTCGCTCGCCCGCAGCAGCAACATTAGCACACAGCGCCGCGCAGAAATATAAGAAACGCGTCGCGATTACACTACTTGCACCCCCCATTTTGGCGCGCTCGCGTCCAGGCTGCCCGCTGATAAATCACTTTTTCTCTTGGCCAACCCGGACGACGCGGGGCCCACCACCACCTGGCAGAGCAGCGCGCATACAGCAGAGCAGCGCGCACGAAGCCGACCAGCGCGCGCGCAGTTTAAAACGATGCGGGCGATCCAAAGGTGGCGTAGCTGAGCACGGGGCTGACGGTGAGGAGCGCGGCGGAGAGCTGGCTGTCCCGTAGATGCACGTCGCGGCCACGCCACTGACACAGCTGCGCCAGCAGAGCCGTTGCGCGCCACACAGATGATTGACAAATCCGACGACACGACTATGTTGTGGCGAGCGGGGCCCGGCGGGGCCCGCTGCTGCTGGAGCGCCCTAACGGTCCCCTTAAAGTGGCCGCGCGCACGGCGACACGTCGTTCCGAGAACTACTAATGAATTAATTAGACATTGGAGATAATGACGATGACGGCGCGATACCCCTGCCGCCACACACTTTACTCGTCGGTGAAGCTCAACACTCCAAACCTCTAAATGTTTTACGAGAAAATTTGTCTAGCAGCTACTAAAGCTTTGTGGTGTTGTATATTATGAAAAAATTCTTTAGTATTGCTTAGATTGTCCCTGGTACTACGAAACGTTTTCCTAGTGCCGTAATTATAATACTAGGAAAACGTTTAGTAATACCAGGTAAAAAGAATAGTACTACTAGAGAATTTCTTGATAATATACAGCACAAAACGTTACTAGTTACTTTAGGCAAATTTTCTAGTAGAAAGTTTAAAGTGAAGATGAAGTGGCGGCCCCACCGCCGTAGCTCCCCGCCGAGCACCATACCTCTATACCATGCGATGACAGCCGATGACAGCAATTGTAATTTGAACTGCGCGCGCAACCC